TAGATAGATAGATAGATAGATAGATAGATAGATAGGCCCTTGAATACAGCACACCTCAAAAAATTCATTCAAAAGTACTCACTGTCTGTTCTGCTTGAAGAAACCGTCTCACTCTTACTCAAGGATAGTTCTGATTCTCCCACGTCTCCCTTTGCTCCTCTGTCACCTTTAGGACCTGAAAAGGCAAACATTTAGGGTTTTAATCTGAATCTGAAAGGAAAATTCAAGTTGAGAACAAGAAAAACCACAATGACGTACCAGGTTGGCCAGGCAGACCAGCAGGGCCGATGGGACCTGAGGAGGTAAATTGAAGATAAAAAAAACAAAACATTAATGCTGGTACTATAATTCAGCGATGAAATGAATGTCCAACTATTTTTTTGGGCTATCAAGCGTCAGACCTGATAATCCTGGAGCCCCAGGGGGACCAGGAGGACCAGCAGGCCCAGGTGCTCCTGGGATGCCAACAGCAGTGGAGCCAGCTGCTAAATGTATGTGATTATCAGATGTCAAATGTCTTTATCAGGAGTCTGTTAAAATATACATTTCATGATGTTCTGTTACCTGCATTGATGATGCGTCCTGGTGCACCAGTATCACCTTAAACAGACATGCACATCTCACGTTAAGGTAATAAAGTCATAATCAACAGCACAAAAAAAACTTGCAGGCAGACATACGCAGCTGTACCTTTGGTGCCGGGTTGTCCTGGATTTCCTGGTATCCCTAAAATACAATTTAAGTACATCATCAGTGTGGTCAGCATTCAAAGTGTCACCCCCAGAGAATTAATAATATGCTACAACAGGAGAGGTATTAATGGCACAGTCATACCTGGTGGTCCTTGAAGTCCAGGTGTTCCTACAGAAGGAAAATATTATGAATATATTTCTGAATATATGTAGCAGATTTATTATCTGCTAATGTGTTAGAGCAGCAACCTTACCTGGAAGTCCATTATCCCCAGGAGGCCCAGCAGGACCTCTGAGTCCAGGAGGCCCAGCTGGTCCTTGGTCACCTGGGCCCAAGGAATAGCATTAGGATTTATTTGTTTTGATGTATTTTTATTTTAATTATTCTATTTTACACTTGTGTGAAATAAATGTATTAATTCTACCTATATCTGTTCTACATTCTTATTTAAATAATATGTAAATTAGTGCAAATGCAGTGCTTATATGATGAGTTATTCACCTCTTGATCCCTTTGCGCCATCTTGTCCAGAAAGTCCTGATGGGCAAAAAGCAGAAAATATTTTATATTGAATTGATCTAAAACATAAACGCATATGCTGCTGACTTAATAACAAGTCTTAGCTACAGACAGAGGAAGCCTTATGAGCAGACTCCTCTTTGACAGAGAATGTTGTTTCATGCTCCTGCAGGTTCTAAACAACCACATGAAACACCAGGAGTCAGTCGAGCACAGTACCACAGTCCGAGTGGCTGAGAATCTATTAGAATCTACTATCCGAGGTTAGACGTCCCCTGACTCACCCACTGATCCTTTGGAGCCTTTTTCTCCAGCTGGCCCGGGCGGACCTGGTAAACCGGATTCACCTGAGAAGTCAGACAACTCGATCAGAAAATTAAGAGACTGAACGGAGTTTAAAACATGCTAATTTTGCATCTACAAATCCAGTTTCAATTACAAAGCTGTGCTGACCTTGTGCACCTCTGGGACCTTTGTCACCAGTGTCACCTGAAATAAACAATGAATTAAACTCTGATCAACAAGCCCAACACAGGGTCCTTTAAAATGCTGACAGGATGTACAACAAACCTTTAAGTCCCTGGAATCCAGCAAGCCCTCTATCACCTGCAGAGTAAGAAAAAGACATTATAATATATCAAAAATAAATAATTTAACTATGAATTTCACACTATTTAGCAGGTGAGTAGTGTGAAACTCACCTTTAGCCCCAGGAGGCCCTGATTCGCCACGGAAACCTTGAAGACCTGGTTGACCTATCACAAAGCAGTTCATGTTAAAGGCCAGGAATGAAGTTAAAACACTAATGATGCTATTTTCAGCTGGTGCTAAATACATTTTGTGGTAAATTCCGCTAAGCAAGTAGATGAATTCGATTTAATGCACTAACCTGGTGGCCCAGAAAGTCCAGACAGCCCCTGTGCACCTGAAAGAATAATTAGCAATTAATAATTATAACAGCATTTGGACAAAAATAAGAATTTAAAAACCGTTTTGATTCACATTGGCACTTTAGGAAAGCTTGAGCTTTCTTTCTTTCATTACACTGAGAAATCAAAATTGCTCTAAAGTGACACAGATGTAAAATAAATGAATAAGTAAATAAATAACTGTAGTGAAAAAAACAACAACTTTTTTTCCGGTGTTTTCTAAGCCGAAGCTTTCTAAGTGTTTTGGTAACACTATTTGGAAAAACAGGAAAGACATATGAGTTTAATTATGCATGAAGTCACAAATAAAACATATTTCTGGAGAGTATGAATAAAAATAAAGCAATGATAGGCCATTCTTTGTTTGTTTTGTTTTTGTTTTGATAAGTAATGTCAGCTGCAAATTGCATCTTGAGGCTGTATTCATAAACTGACTCTATACTGCCACCTGCTGCTGCAAACGGTACAGACACCACGAGGGATTAAATGCTTGTCATCTCATAAATGTCTCAATAAGGAGGCATTCATAGATGTTTTTGTTTGTTTGTTTACTTAAACTTGAAAGCTCCATCTTCACTGATCTCACCTTTTGGTCCAGGGGGGCCGATAGGTCCTACAGGCCCAGGAACCCCAGGATCTCCATGAGCACCTGCACAAGCCAAACATAAAAGATCTTGTAGTGACAAACTGTTTGCGAGTCAAGCTAGACGAGGTCTTTGATTGTTCTGAGTATGAACCATACCTCTGTCGCCTTTAATTCCAAAGCCTGGAGGTCCTGGCTCACCTCTCGGGCCAACTGGGCCCTCACGACCTCTAAGACCCGGTGGCCCCTCAGCTCCATGTTCACCTGATCACACATATAGCACAGAGATGATCAGTGGCTCTAACTCAGCTGAGCAGCTACATCATGAATTCAATTTTAACTTGAAATGTTTTGTGTACCTTGAGTTCCTTTTTGTCCTTTGGGACCTTCGGGGCCTGAATGTCCCATCGCACCTGGAGGACCTGAAGTCACAGTCACAGTGAGTAAAAATGGCGTCACAATACCACACAGTAATTCTAAGAAAAATATAAAATAATGTGATGACTAGCATCCGATACCAATGCTGATACTGACACTGACATTTGGAGGTATTTTAAATCCACTTTTCCAGTGTTTCGGCTGAAATGTTTTTGTTTCAGACACACGACACACAAACAGATCTCTGTAACACTTGTCGAGCCATTTTCACCCTGCCCAAATCTACTCAGATCAGCTTGTGTTGTGTGCCAAACACGCTGACAACAGGAAAATTGTAACCTGCCCTCTGGTGGACAAACTATCGTATGTAACGTTAACGGTCCTAACATTGTTCAAGTGTGTTTTAACTGCTGTTATAAATGCTGATACTGATAGATCAGCACACAGATAATATCAGCCTGAAAACAAATTGGGTGGGCTGTAGTGATTAATAAATGAAAATGTAAGTCATCGTTACTCACCTGGGATGCCAGGGAAACCGGGATCTCCTATAAAAAATAAAACACAAGAGAAATAAGAGCAGAAAAATGGAGCAGGACTTCACCCGAAATACTCCAAAAAGAAAATATTTTGGTCAGTAAGAGATACTGCTGTTAAACCTTTAGTTCCAGGGTCGCATAAAAAGAGTAGGAAAATAAACATTCTTAAAATTTAAAATGACATGCAGCTGATTTTGATTACCTCAAGAACATTACAGTTTTAGATGTAATTAAATAAACTTTTTTATATTTTACCTTTAGGCCCAGGCAATCCTCTCTCTCCCTGTACTGAGGACGCTAAAGTAGCTGAAAAAGGAAAACAATTACATGAATGTAGTGCATGATATGTAAATATGTATGTGTGTGTGTGTGTATGTGTGTGTGTGTGTAGTACCTTTGAATGCCTGCGACTGCATTTCAGCCCTTAACATGTGCTGGATGGCCAGCTGAAGAGCAGCAGAATCTATGTGTCCTCCACTCACGCTGATCCTGAGGTCAGTGCCAGTACCGGCACCACTAGCAGAACCGGTAACCCCAACTCGTTGACTGGTACCAGCAGCATCAACTCTACCACTTTGACTTGTACCAGCACTCCCGACGCTGCTGCTTCCACTACTGCTGGAGCTCCCACTGGAACTGGTACCAGCTCCAACACCAGAAGTACCAGTAGACCCTCCAATGCCATTACCACCTGTGCTGACATCACTTGTGGAAATCTGAACTTGTGTCCTGGATCCTGAACTTCCACCTCCTCCACCCACGCCTATGGTGTTGTCAGTGCCCATACCTCCACCATCCACATAAGTGTTGATATCATTGGAAGACAGCCGACTGGTGTGGGCGCCAGCGACCGATGACGCAGCTTCCAGGGTCGCCACTCGACTCTTCAGCTTTCTCACATCCTCAGCTGAGAAAAAGACAGGCAGATGTTTCCACCGTAAGTAAAAAATTCTTATTTACAGCTTCTCAAATGTAAAGTGTTATCTTTCTTTTTCTCCTCTGTAGACTAAACACTTAACATCAGATGACTCCGTGATGAAAGTACTATGATGTTTTAGCTGTGGTCTAAAAATCTAAAATGTAACATATTTACTTGCTCATATTTGTAGTAAATGTGAGCACAAGTATAGAACGGGATTCTTGCAGCTTCCCTTTGTGCGAGCCTCCAAGCCCGAGGAAAAAAAATCCAGTGGATAAGAGCCCAAAACTGCAGTTCCCCTAGAGGCCACTTGAGGCTGCCTCCAAAAGCATGTAAGTGCTCTTTGACTTCCATGTTAAGATGCTGTTGAACTACACAACATTTAAAGTATGTTTACAGCCTGGTAGAAGAAGCATTTTTGGTTACTGTTGGCGGTTTCCCGTTCCATACTACCTGTACTGGGGTCTTAGACAGTGTTTGTGGTGTTGGTGCTATTTGAAGTGTTTTAGTGGAGCTGTATGATCTACAACGTGGCTTTCTGGGTGGTACAGACCATCCCAGAAGTTTGTGCTTCAGTTATGATGACTTGTACAATTTAACCGATTATTTAGCCCTCCAACTTCATACCAGGATGAAGGAGGAAATGCAGATTTTAGAAAGAAATGAATGAACTTTAATATGGCACTTAAGCCTCAGTTTCTAAACTATATATGGAATACTGGAACAATTAAAAGCAATAAAAAGGATATTATTTATCCAGACATACAGAGTCAAATTTTTATTTTTCCTTTGTTTTCAAGGGACATAAAAATGAAGTGTATATCCTCTCAAACTCTGCTGTTGCTTCACAGTCTAAGACTGAGAGTGAAGACTCGGAAATTCATTTGTGTTCCCCTCGGAACATATTTAACTTAACATATAACTAAGCTATAAGTTATAACATATGTATTGAACTGAATGATGAAAAACAGACGTTTATCAGTTCACAGACTCTGAGCAGGCTGTGGATGCTTCAGTGTAAGTTGCAAATGTATTTTCAGGTTCTTGACATCACATTTTTATCAGGGTAAATCCACAACAACAACTCTCGTGCTACAGGCAAAGCAAACTCGAGTCTCTGATGTCATCCAGCAACGATTTCCAGAGCTGGTCTGTAGACAATGAATGAATGCCAGACTTTATGGGGGTGGGACGGCACTAAGAGATCATATTTCCAGGGAGAGAATTACATTTATTGTTTCTCAGCTCAATAGTGGAGACTAGTCTGTAAAGGCTGAAACACTTTTTATTGGTTAAAAAACAGTCACTCTCTGATCCTTCACAGCACAGCAGCTTTAGAATCTGGCCCTTCAGACTCCTGAGGTTTTATCTTATCTGTGGCCTTTGGGGTCTCATAAGGCTGCACAGTTCAATCTTACCCAGAGCAATGAGGCCAAACAGGAGTCCCAGCAAGAGCAGGGAGAGAAGGAGAAGGCCCAGCAGCCACTTCCACCAGGAGCAACAGGAGTCCGAACAACAGCATAGTCCTCCACCTCCGAAGATGCCGCTGTCCCTGTGAATCTCTGCAGAAAGAGTGACGAGTTCAATCCAACATTAAATTTTCAGTACACTGTCAATTAGCTCCTCAATATTTATGTCGATGAAACTTACCTGCATAGGTGGCTTTGTCTTTCATTACAACTCCAGATGAACCATCTGTGCAAGAAATAAACCAACATCACCAATTTTTTGTTATTGTTGTTGTTTTCTTGTAAATCAGTCACATTGGAGATGCTTTTAAGATGCTCTCACAGTAAGAGTTGCCAGTCTCTGCCTTCAGTTGGGCCGTTTCACCGTAGCTCGAAATAAGCTTCTCCTTCTTTATCGAGTCTCCTGACAGTGACCCTGTGAAAACAGAAAAAGCACCCATTTTATGTATTTATTTATTTTTTCTTAAGGAACTAAACTGAAAACATACAATGACAAACTGTAACAGACAATCAGCTCTAAAGGAGTTTAAATTATAACCAAGTTTAAATTATAACCAAAAAACGAATAAAAAACAGTGCAATTAAATACATGTCAGGCCAATTCCCGATTAAAACTCTAAGGAAAGTTGAGGAACTTGTATGCCCAGTAGGTGGCGCTGAGTGTGAGGCTCACCTCCTCCTACATGAATGCCGCTGCTGGTAAACTGCTTGCCGGTGTCTTTTGCCAAAATGAGCATATCTGTCTCCCTTTTGGCTGGAACGTTTTCTTTTTCAGAAACCACGAACTTATAGTCTTTCTTATAGGCGTCATCAGTTTGGGATCTAGTGGCTGATAAAAGACAAACCACCAGGAATTAATCTTGTTCAGCCTTTGATTATTTTTATCAGATTCAGGGGGATTTAAACTGTTGCAGACTTACTCGTAGAGACTCCAGTGCTGATGCCGCTGCCACCGTTGGTCACGTTCTTCTGAACACCATATCCTGTAAATACAAACGCATAGATGGATATGTAAGAAAGACACAATTTTGAAATGAGGGCAAAAAGAGGATAGAAAAAAGGTTTTCTTACCTCCCAGGTTAGCATTTACGTTGGCTCCACTGGTGGTGAGCACACTGGCCGAAGTGGGTGCCAGGTTATTCTGAAAGCCGTAAACTAGAAAATATAGATGCAGAGATTTGATTAAGTAACTACCAATTATTTCACACTGGAGGAAAGTCACAGTGGAGAAGGGAAGCATCCTTCATTTCCATTTATGGCCCCAGAGTAGTTTTACAACTTGACTATGCTAACCAGCCAGAATAGGGAAGAAAGACTTAACTGGAGTTTGTGCAATTTATTTTGATTTTTCAGGGAAAAGAATTACACTGACTATGGAAAAGTATCAAAAACTCACAAAAACTCATGCATCAAATATGGAAAATACTTCCAAGGTTTTTCTGAGAATATATAATATTCAAATTCAACACTATGGACCATCAGGATGGGGATGATGACATCTGCTGATTTCTAATATAAGACTTATCATAGTGTACCTGTTTCCTTGTTCAGATGTTTGTTTATATGTAAGCATGTGTAGATATGGAGCATAATAAATGCATGTGTAGTGACAACATATCCATGTATATCCAGGAACATTTGGTCTCACCTGACAGGGATGATGGAGAGGTGGGGATGACTGGTGCCAAGCCTGCAGCCATGTTGTTGGCGCTGACCTGCCCACTTTGGTATGTGTAGCTGCTGGTGTTGCCAGCAATGACTGTAGTGGAGGAGGATGGCAGAGTGGAGGTGGACCAGGAGAAAGTGGGGAACACCGTGGAGTCCAGAGTGTCATATTGACCTGATCTTACAGTGGTGTCATACTGCACTGATCTCACACCAGTATCATACTGTCCTGATTTCAGACTACCATCATACTGCACTGATCTCACACCAGTATCATACTGTCCTGATCTCACACCAGTATCATACTGTCGTGATTTCAGACTACCATCATACTGCACTGACCTCACACCAGTATCATACTGTCCTGATTTCAGACTACCATCATACTGCACTGATCTCACACCAGTATCATACTGTCCTGATTTCAGACTACCATCATACTGCACTGATCTCACACCAGTATCATACTTGTCTGTGATATCATACTGGCTTGATTTATCAAGCTTTCCATTTGTCAGGCCGGTATCATACAGTCCTGATAAATCAATGGTGTTGAACCCAGGTGATCTCACACCAGAGCCAAAAGAACTTGAAACTGCAGGAGAGAAAAGACACAAAGACAAACATTTTAAATGTGTCTCTAGTTTTCACTTTTCTCCACTTTGTGTCTGTGATGTGCAGCTCAGGCGGCAGTGCGTTGTCCTGTAGTTTGTAGGTTGGTAGCCCCCCACTGTCTGTGTTATACCGAACCATAATTGGCCTCTGATGGATCCATCAGAGTGTGAGTGTGCGTGTGACAGTTAAAAAGAGCTTAAAGACATAGTATGAATGTGTGTGAGAAAAGGTAAAACCAATATATAAGAGTCTATTAAACAGTTTAACCCCTTATAACCTGTTTCCACATTCAGACTAAATCTATACAGTATATTGGACACAACTTGACAACTAACTTTATTGCACATTAATATACATTTTTATTAATGTTATTTTTCCCTCTTTATTCCATATTAAGATTTCCTGTGACACCTCTCTAATATATAATGACTTTTTAATAAACCCTGACTATTTTGACAAAATGTTCTTCTACGTGAATCTCCAACGCTAAAGGGTTTAGCACTGTAGTATACCTGACTGAGAGGCCACTGAGATGGTCTTTGTCTCCACGCTGGCCTTTTTAGGGACAGGCAGGGTGATGGAGGCACTGGAGGAGCGAGTGGGGCTGACGCTGCTAGAGCGTCCCTTCAGCAGCTTCTTCACGTCATCCAACTCTGTCCCTGCAGAACCACAAACGCACAAACAAATGCAACAATGCAGCACATCTCAGATACTGTTTCATCTTGAATTTGAACTAGAAACTCAACAGCAGAAACTGTTAGAAGTTTATGGCTAAAAGGAATCCTAAAAACAGAAGACTGTAATTTTGCAAGAGGCAAACACAAAAAACACTTTTTAAAGAAAATTAAACATTTTGTCTTAATATTTATTCTTCATTTAGTTTGGTTAGTTGGGGGTATGTGTCCTCTGAAAATATTAGTTAATCTCCGTTTGTCATAAAACAGGTATAATCAATCATATAAATATCTAACATGTACTCATGCAATAATCTCACAGTGTAAAAGTGGCCATGATTTATTGTTTTGAAAGTATTTTTATTTGTAATATTTCTGCGAGTGATAATAGCTGCAAAACCTACAAAAGAAGAGACTTACACTCCACTTCTGAGAGTTACGGTCTTGTTTTTGTTTTATTATATTTAGTAAAAGTGCTTTTTCCACCACTACACACGATGTACCGTGGCAGGCTAAGGGGGCCAAAGGTGGCACAGAGTGACTAACTCTTAAAAAATGTGGATTAAATAACAGCACTTATGGACTTCAATCAGCAGGGGGAGCGATGATCATCTGTTCAGCTCTAACTCTGCACCGTTTTGGTCTAAAATGGGACTTACTGCAAACAGTGAGTCATGTGTGCCGTTGCTACCACCAAAATTCTGCCCCATAACCTTTTCTCCACATGGCTACAGTGCAAACAAAGGCACGGTCCCCACTGTTTAAACCTCCGCTCGTCTCTTTTTGCTGATGTATATGTTCTGTTTTGGAGAACTAACTGCAACACGTGTTACAAATTAGAATTTTATAGACTCGCATGTGAGAAGTGGAACGTAATATAAATCTGATCCACATGATTCAAAAGAGACACCCCACAGTAAAAAAGTCTTTCACTATGCAAGTGGTTCTTTGAATGAATGTACTCAGGAACAGGACAAAATGAGAAAAAGTTCTGAGAACTTGCATAACAGCAGCAAATGGATTGAGAGGTCTTACATCTGCAGGGAGTGGGGGAGGCACTTTGCAATCTGACTCTGATCTCGCTTTCTGGAAAAAAAAATCACAACACACAATGGACAATGGAATCCTCATTTAATAAAATAAATAAATAAATAACAATTCAGAGTCAGATGGTGCAGAAATAATGAGGGGAGGAGCTATTATTAAATACCTCTGCTTTCGCTTCTCCCTCTTGTGGCACCAGAGCCTGAAAGAAAAACAGAGACACATGTTTAGGGTAAAACAGGAGAGATATTGTGCATTGAGAACATTGATAAGCCTTTTCACTTACAATAGTTTCCATAATCTTTGCGAGTAAATTCTGGAGAGGAATTAGCACTGGAACTCCCTAGAAGAAAGCACAATGGTTGAGCAGAAGTATAAACAGCACCCTTGAGTTGTGCCAGTTTCCTTCACTCTCTGATGCCAACTGTTTTATTAACAGGATCTCACCATCATAGCCCCCTGAGCGGCTGGATATGTGCTTCCTCTCCCGGAAAGCTGGCGACAGGCCTCCTGATGAGCCAGCAGTCTGCGTCCTCCTGGCACCGCCCGACGAGCTGGACCGGACCTTGGACGCGGAGCTCACGAGATAACTGCCTCCGCTGCCTCCACCTCCTCCTCCTCCTGTGGCAATTCCAAAGCTTTCTCCATCTATGTAGGTCCCACCTCCCTCACCCCCTCCTGAGGAGTCTCCGCCGAGGTAGATTCCCGAGGAGGAGCTGTAGCTCCCGGTGTTCACACCTACAGAAGCTGGAAGGATGATTTCCAAAATTATTTATGATTTCACAGAACTCTTCAGTCATGATTGGACTAATATGACCAGGAAGTAGTAACTAAGTCCCTTTTTTCAGCTGTAAATTTAAGATAGTGCCATTTTACATGAGTATTTCCAGCTTCTGCTCCGCCACGTCTCAGAAAAACTGAACATACTGGAAATACTACATAGCACACAGAAAATATATAGTGATGATCCATTTTAAAGTCCCACTTACTGGAAAATATTCCTGAGAAACCTCCACAGAAGATGCTACATAAGATAATCGTTTTTATTTAATAAAAACTGCTGTTTCTAAAAAGAAAAGTAAATGATTTCCTGTGGCAAGTGTACATTAGCAGCTAAAACAGATCCACTGAAACTCCTGAACGTGTTTACCTGCAGAATATGATTAATGTTATACAGATTCTGCAGATAACACTCGCATTGCCACACGTTCAGCTGACCAGTTGTGCAAAACTTGAAACACTTGAAACAGGCTCAGTTATTTAATTAGGTTTTTCTGTACAGTCCACAAACTGTACAGAAACTAAATTAGAGTACTGATAGTTACTTTACAACAAGAGGAACTCCTGTTTTAGTGTGTGAAAACATCCAGATCTGGTATTTTTACATTAAACCCTGGTTTAACTTATTCATTCAATTCAATAAAAAAGTTCCCCATAAATATTGCACAAAAATAGTCATTTCTAATTAAAAACCTGCTAAATAACTAAAAGAAGTAAAGTATTTCCCTATGCCATGCTGTGGAGCAGAAGTATATAGTAGCATGAAACCATAACACCTAACTAAGTATCTTTACTGAGATTGGAGCTAAAAGTTAAATACCGTAACCGTTTCCCTATGGCACCCGTAAAATAATGTTTCAGTAAACCAGCTCCACCTCAGCCTCCTTTAATAGTAATGCTCTCCGCCGTATCTTAGTGCATCAATAATGACGTCAGAGCTACTTTCAAGAAATAAAATATTCCTGCCTGGATGCAAAAAACTAGAATCTGTCTTTTGTAATTCGGGTTAAAAATGTGACATTCAGCATCTCAAAACAAAACTGCAGCTTCCTCATTTTAAGTGGAAAGTTGCTCTCACATGAAGAAAAGTAAGTTCCACTGCTGCTGTTCTGGGTTAAGACATTCTTCTCCAAGCCCAGCCCTCCAGCACTGCTGGACATATTCCTGTGATTTGATCCGCTGGTTCCCTCTAGCAACGAAGACACACAGCAAAACACAAGAAGCAGTTACTCATCGGGAACTTCCTTTAGAACTATAATTACTCTTATTTCTTTTTTTGTTTTTAGTTTGCTGACAACAATTAAGGCAAACATGGCTAGACCAAAGAGACTCACTTGGTGGGAGAGATGTCAGTCTGGTTGTGGAGGTTATGGTTTCTGTGACAACTGATGAAAAGGAAACAATAATTGCCACTGTGCGCACGGTATTTGTGTCCATATAGGTATAACAGTGAGAGTTATTACAGCAAACTACACTTTTTTTTATTGTTAAAAAACTGAAAATGTACTTTTTTTGCCAGTATATTATCTGTTTTTTATGTAATAGACAGGATGGCATAATGGAATAACAGAAAACAGATCACATAACAGCAGAAAAATAACAGAAATGATCAGAATGAAAATAAATATGAAAAGAATAAACAAATAAACAGAAATAACATGTTATTGTGTGTAGACTCATCTTGACACTTATTGTTAAAGGAGTTTTTATACTATAACTAAAGACTAATGGGTGAGAGAGGATTACAAAACTGTTATAGCACATTAATAACAATTTTTGGAGAGCAAGGTTGGTCGATGTCCTCCTACAACTGTTTTTTAAATTTAATGAAATGAACAATTTCTAACCATAGTGAATTGATGTGATTGCTTACGAACATTAACAGGCATACAAATGAAAACTTCACTCTGACTATTAATGATTTTGACAACCATCTAAAAATGCAAAATGCTAGTCTTAATAGTGCCTCATAGTTTTTTAATAGAGTATTAACTGATCTATTAAACACTATTAAAGTTCTAGTTGCAACCTTGAAGCCTTTAATAACAGGTGACTTGCAATTACCTGGTTCTAAAACAACCAAGTGCCAGGTTAAGGTCATCGGGTTGGGTGGTTTCCCGTAAAATCAAATCAAACTCAAGTCTTGCATTTAAATAAAGCTAAAGTACCAAATGAGGACATCTGACATGTCAAGTTTTTCAATGTTTTGATTCTTACTGACAAAAACATCCCTACCAAAAATTTCACAAGCATCTTGAGGTCTTAATTTGCAGATTGCTGACCCTGTGATTGCTATCACAACGCGCAACAGGAGAATAACAACTAAATCACCTCCAGGAATGAGTCGGACCCTACGCCCTGTGACCGCGTTTTCTTTATGAATTTTCAGTCCCAACTTGGATTCATACTTTCTGACAAGTTCTGACTGTAATCAAAGACTTTGTCCTCAGGTCAGCCTGAGCCTTCATGCTCATCATATATGTAGGCATGAATTACAAGAACATTAAATAAAGATTGCATAAATTATGGGTGCAGATAAATTTGATGTTAATAACACCCCTGTTCCAGCAGGAAGCAAGTTGTTCTCCTGCAGCAGCCTGTTGAGTTTTGCTGGCATCAGCTATAGATTATAAAAATTCCTTTAATTTCATGCTGGCTTCTCGTTCGTGTCTTCCTCCTTTCATCTCCTCCTCTTCACTCCTGCTTTCCTTCCCTTTTAGGGGTTTATGTCTGTTTTAGGCCTGTTATGCTCCTGCTGCCGATGCTCCTCGACTCTGGCAAAGCCTCGAACACATTCTAACCACTGGTTATGAAATGTGTTAAATAAATAAAGTTCAGCAGATTTGCTTTAAAAGTGATCAATAAAACAAGAGGACAGCGTGTCTGATTCTCTCGGCAATGGTCAAACTTATGATCCGGGCCTGCTTGACCTCTCCGCCCTGTGTCAGAAGCTGTTAGGCCGCGATGAGCTCTGCTTTAACATTTAACTATGACTGCTGAAGGGAAACCCAGAGGATGACTTACACTGTGATGAGCAATGGAAAGTGAGACCAGTGAAGGCATGCAGTGATGTTAGTGATAATAAGACCCCCCCAGAGAGAGAGAGACAAAACCACCACCAAGGAAAGGAGGACGCTATTTAAAACCGTGTAGCAACAAAGTATTTTTGAGCCTCTACACCAATCTGTCTTTAAACCCTCAAATAAGAAATCACTTTATGAGGTCTGTGAAAATGGGACGCTGAGATTCTGAATGAAATCCAATTCAAATAGAACAAAAACTGTCTGTGGCAGTTAGTTTTTGTTTAATGTGTGTCTATTTTGGGTGAATCAAGCCTTTATTTTGGGATTTAATGGTGGCTTTGTCTATCTGTACTGCCATTCCAAAAACTTCGGAGGAAATCCAGAAATCTCACCCTTTTCTTCTGAGAAGTCCATCTGCCCTGTTAACTCGTCCATCCCATTTTAATCTGGTGAGATGATGATAAAATGTTGACCACAGTCATGTATATTCAGAGCCGTCTGCTTATTTCTTAACTGTGGTTAGATGGTATTTTAGCTAACATCTAATGAAAAAAAAGACAAAATTGTTCTCCCAGGAATGATCTGGGTTAAAGATCAGGCTGCTTGTTTACTGCATGTATTTGATACTTCATCCCAGCTGAAACACAAAATGTCATCACACCAGTCTTCCTGATTGTATTTTTTAAAACCACCATATGGTTTCCCCTTCCACTAACAGCAGACAGGCAGAACATATGCAACAAGAGCACACATTTACCTCTTATGTGAACAGAGGACACCACAGAAAAGCATCATCTATAGCTTTCAGCAGACTTTCTATTTACTTTTGTTTCTTTGACGAGCAAACTCACAAAGGAACAAAGGAGTCTGGTGGATCACCGCTCAGCTCTGAAAGACCATCCTCTCACCACACCCTGCCAGCCAACTAAGAGCATTTAACTGCATATGCTTCATCTACACTCAGGTTATTTAGAAACAGCAATGCAGAGAAACTTCATAAGATGCCCTTTTTGTTACTTTTCTCCTGTACCACGTGGTGCTGAAACCACAGCTTCTACCTGTGCCCAGTAACACATTTATGCTGTTTTTACTGCTGTGAGAAAAGTTAATAGTGAAGATATTTCTCCCAATAAATCCACTCCTTGTTATCCTTTTAGCTTGAAGCTTGTAAAAAAGAAGAAAAAAAAACAGTTACTTATCATAGGCTGTAACTGATCTGAGCAGCAAATATAGGCACATGTCAGTTAAAGCGTGATGCTCCAGAAAGGCCGGAGCCTCTGGTATATTTAGACGGATCTAAATAGCACAGCAAAAGGAGAATGTGTAAAACTATCCTGAGATCACTATAACCGAAAAATGATCCCCAAAAAACCCCTCCAATGGATTGTACATACAAGCCAAGAAGTATGTGCGGAGAACTTTGAAGACTATAACAATTCCAACCTATAAACACCCCAAAAAAAAGATTGACAGCCCATCAGCAAACTCCCAGAGCGCAGTTAGTGCAGAGATGCAGCAGCCAGGTGGGAAGAAACATCCGCAACATCCACCTTAAACAACTTTCCCCTTCTCCCCCCACCCCCCTTTAAAGTCTCCAAGTTATTTCAGAGCACTGCATTGTAACAAAACAAAACAAAAAGAAATCCATACCTTCAGCCACTTCCAACAAGTACCGATCAAATACGGATTCCTCGCAGGATGGAGCGACTGATCCACCACCGGAGGAACAATGTGTTTATGTGAAGCTGACGCGTCGTGCGGGGATGTTCTTAAAGTCCTCGATCCTATTGTGTCTTTTCGCTCAACTTTCCCAGGCAAGTAAAAACAGAGATTTTGGCACCGGTCCCAGCCGCGCCCATCAGCTTGGCAGGCAGGTGTGGCAGACGGCACGAAAAGCTGAATTTGAAGAAGAAGAAGAAGAAAAGAGCGCCCGAGGGAACCAATTAAGTTGTCAGACTCAGCCTAACAGGCACAGATACTCGACAGTGAAAAGGAAAAGTGATGAACTCCTCCTGCTGCTGCTACTGCTCAGCGCTTTAGCCTTACTTTTCGAAACTGGTAAAGTTTTGAGAGGAGGTGGGAAGGGGTTGATATGGGAGGTAGGATTTTTTCCCCCCACCACCACCTTCTCTTTCCTGCTGTTGGATAGCAGTGCAGCCATTTCGGGGTCTGCTGATCTAGTGTGGGCTACAAATCAATCCTGCTGCATCTGGAACGCATCTGGTGCGCATTTTTTGGAACAAGAAACAGAGCATTTAATCTATATCCTATGGCTTCAGCAACTGTTATTACATAACCAAGCAGTATTTTTACAACGTTTTAAAATTAAAAGCACAAGGCTGGAGTCGGGTGACTTTAACTGACTGCAATGTTTGCGTAAAAGGCTCCTCAGCTTTTTTTTAAATCCAGCTGTTTCAGCATCAGTTTGTGCCTTTCCTGTTTACTGCTCAGATTAGGAGTTCTGATAGTTTTCATGTGACACTGCTGATAGACTTCAGAAGAAATCAACAGCTTCCACCACGTGCAGTCACCAAATGAGAGGACACACGAGCTGTTTTTAACTGCATGATAATAATAAAAGTTCTCCATCCATTCATTTACATTTATGCAATTTTGCAGCTAAATTATAGATGTTTTATTTCTACACTGGCAGCCGCAAGCGCCAGTAGGTTCCCTCACCCACCACACCCTGTGCAGACATCCACCCACCCTGCATGACTCACAGCGAGTATGACTCTAATCTGCTCAAAGGATGGAAAAGAAATGGCCCCAAGGACAGTGTAACGGAGGAGGAGCTGCTGCTCCGCTCACATCTATGTGCAAGTTTGAATAATGCCAAATCTTAAGGGAAAGCAACAGATTCCAGGATGGTGGGGGGGAGCTGCAGCAGACTGGCCTGTGCAGCCTTTTTGTATGAAACACACTCCTGTTTGTGTTGAGGATAACAGCTGTTCCAGATAAGCTCTTATTATTCGTTCGAAGAGAGGGGGAAACAGCTTCAAAAGATTTGACAGGAAGTTCAACAATGCTTACACAGCAGAAAAATTGTTTAAGTGACAGGAAACAATTTGTGAAGCTGGGTGTCCATTCCTCATCATGCTTGGACATTGCTTGTGGTGTTCCACAAGGCTCTGTACTGGGTCCAAAATTATTTATTATTTATATAAATGATATTTGTAAGGCATCTGATATATTAAAATTGGTATTATTTGCAGATGACACAAATATTTTTTGT